TAAAAAAGATCCACATCTTCAAGAGAATTATAAGTATATGCGGAGGTGCATTCTAATGTTAGTTAAATAAAAATATATAAGTCGTAACTCACGTTCCAAGCAGTGGAAATTAATTCAGTCTTATCCTTTTCAGCTTCCACCTCAGAATCAGACGATATCGAGGCTTCGTCGCCGCTTTCAATTGTTGGCAATGGCTGTTCCGTGTCGCTGTCATCGTCGATTTTTTCTGGAACTATCTCTGCAGCAGCTGCAGCTACTTGCTGCTTCTCTACCTGCTCCTGAGCAGCAGTGAATTCAGCTTGCTCTCTGAACAAAGATCCGAATTTTTCGAAAAATCCACCGTCCACCTGCTGAAGTCTGTAAATGAGAGTTGTAATTAATAAGAAAATCAGATCCGATTTTTGTAATTTTTATCAAAAATAAAGATTGAACTCGTGTTTTCCATTACATTCTTCCTCCCAAAGCAACTAGATAAAACCGGAGCTCAGAAATGGTCTATTTCGAAGCTAGTCTTCACAATGGAATGCCGTGTAGGGACTCTTTTATTATTTCTCTCAAGCAATGTTTATGAACTAACGTGTGAGACTCTTATTTATCTTCGACAAGCAAGGTTTCTGTCGATTCCATAGATGGCGTGAGTAACAGGAGTTTCCTTGCTTTACTTACAACGAGGTTTGTCTTTTAAGGATAACTGAGTTCAACAATGAATTCGTGGTTCAGCCCATTATCAGTGTTGGATCACGAATGTTCTTGGGTTCTGATGGTTGATTTCTTCCTATAAATTGATTCGGATCTTTCCTAATTTAAAGCTTATACGAACATTTTGAATGTTATTTGGAACACTTTCCAAAATAAAAGAAACACAATGATATACAAAAGTTTATTTCTCCAGCTCTAGCATCTTCGAAAACTTTTATTATTATTCTGGAACATATTTTAGGAACTTCATATGGGCTTTGAATCATGAGAGATACATTCATTTGCACTACGAGGACAATGCCAACTCATTTTATCAAAACATACCTAACGCCTTTTTTCTATTACTGATTGACTCCCGATGAAAATTTGGGTTTTTGGAAGTTGTACAAAGTCAAAAAACCTCATTGGAAATATTAAAGGTTATTGATATCAATTAATGATTATTTTTGAATGAACTGTGTGGTACATGAAGAGAGTAAGTGTTACTTCCTTTCGAGTGACTATTAGGGCCGTAATAAAAACGTTATAGTTTATTTGATGATCATCAGATTACCAAAACCCTCGAGAATATCGGTTGAGAGTACCCCAAATTTGACGATGCCCTTTATAAAAGTTCTGTGATCATATATTCTGACAGTATAATGAAAGTTCCATTGCCAAAATTTAAATATGTTTTCAATAAAAACCAAAAGAGCCAGAGTAGATTATTCGGTATCGTTTAGTAATACACAAAATAAGTAACTTTGTCACAATTTAATGTTCTCTCTTTTTTTCACCTTCACGGGATCACCAAGAATAGATTCGAATTTGAAGAGTCCTATATATTCCTGTGGTTTCAACTATCTATTCTTTGAATATTACTGAAGTGTTTTCACAACACCAAATCGTTATTTTCAACACCTCGACACGTGTTTCGATCACCAAGTGATCATCTTCAAGAGGAAGATTAAACACGTGTCGAGGTGTTAAAAATAAAGATTTGGTGTTATCAATATCTATTTTGTTCCCTTCAAAGTAGTCCCCCTCAGATATAATACACTTGTGCCAGCGTTTCTTACCATCCTCGAAGCAGTTCTGATATGCACTTTTTGGTTATGTCCTTGAGCCGTCTCAGTGATTCGTTTTTTATCTCCTTATTCGTCGCAAAACGCCGTCCTTTCAATCCTTCATGCGTCTCTTCAAATTTGGGTACACGAAAAGGTCTCAGAGGGGCAAATATGGTGAATACTATGGCTGAGGCATGAATAGGGTGTTTTTAGCCAAAAAATCACGAACAAGCAACTATGAGTGATCAGGTGCATTATAGTGATGCAAAAACCATGAATTGTTTTTTCACAATACCTAAGCCCAAAATTTCCGAAAAAATTGCATGGCATAAGCCAACCGATATGCCATCTTCAGCAACTTATCTAATAGTGATTCGACGATTCTCCATAATAATTTTCTTCACTTTCTCAACATTTTCATCGAATGTTGATGTGCTGGGGAGTCCAGGGCGAGCGTCGTCATTCACATCTCCGCTTGTATAGATATTTTACATTTTCAAATACGCAAATAAAATGCATTCAAAAATAACGCGGTAACAAAGTATTTCATCATTAGGAACTTGGAAGACTACGTTTTAAAAATTTAATTATATCGAACTTGGAAGCAGAGAAAGGCCAGAAAAATAAAAACTTCAAGACTATAAGTACTTATACGTTTTATTTTGCCGTAAAAGAAAAATTATTGCTTCGCCATGTGAAAACCTAAGGCAAAAGCAATATCGCCCAGCTTGTTTCTTCTCAGGGTTCACAGAAATAGGCTAAAAAACACAGTAGGTATATCGTTCATTTCTTTAGATTTGTTTATTGCCAGTCTTCAAGCATAGCCCACTGACTAATAAGAAAGTTTTCCTTCCTTATTCAGAGGAATCGGGCAAATTACGGATTTTCAGTTGGTTAGTACCTCGTCCACTAGATGGAGTGACATTTGGTGATGTTCGCTCCAACTCCAACTTCGGAAGAGGAATGAAATACTTTGAAAGAATTCCGATTTTCAATTATGGAATATTATTGACTTTAGGTCGATGATGGTCACTATCTTGCACTGACAAGTGGCTAATGAGCCCGAAACCAGTCTGCAAGTGTGCCCGTTCCAAAATTGAAGGTCGACTCTTTCAGTTGTATTGCCAATTGCATATGCAGGAAATTATTTGTGAAGATTCCTGCACTGACGACTGTCGGATATAATCCAACGCCCTTCGTGGTATTAGCCAGGGGAGTAGTTGTTTTCTAATAGGCGTCAGTCCATTCAACCTACTGTGTATGTATTTCGAGACTGGCTTGAACGTTTGAAGTTCATTTCTTTAGATATAATATGATGTACTCAATCAGATATCGAGTATCGAAGGATCTTATAGTGACTAATGAAGTAATGAAAATTTTTTTCCATTTAATAGATTATGGTTACTTTTCTCTAAAAATATATTTCAAGGGAATTGAATTATTTGCTAACCAAAAAGGATTTCCATCTCTGATTGATTTGTCTCCAGGTTTTTTTATTCTAGTTTCACAGACATTTAGGTACCCGCTTTGATGAATGAAAAAATAGTCTCTAAATCTGGTGAGATTCTAACCTTGAGGTGCACTAAAGGCAGCCCCCGAAATTTAAAATTCCATAGGCCTCATGAAACAATTGAATACTGTATATTTGCAAGAGCATATTTCACTGTTCATATCATTTTCTATATTTTTCACTTTTTGTAACCCATTTCTACTGAAATAAAATTGACTACCCCCTTCACTTTGGCTAACAAAATAAATGAAGATTATTATCATTCTACAAATCTTGTTACTGATTCTACTTGTTCACCAAATACATATTTTATACCAAATGAGTTCATTCTGTGACTGGTGAGAGTATCCTATTTCTCAGTAATTATAAAAGTCACAGTTCGAGGAACTGAAATCTTTTCAGAAATGAGATATATTAAATCCTACCATTATATAATTACACTCTTTATTATACACATTTGTGACTGTTTTTCACTAAATATTATTAATGATGTTGACCTACCTACATCTCATTCATAATTTTAGGAATTATTTTAATGAAAATTTTTTGCCAAAAAAATTATCCTATCAAATTTGTCTATTTCTAGTCATGTGTGTCGAAATAACCAATGAAACCATCATTACACTGAAAATTTTTTGCCAAAAAAATGATCCTATCAAATTTGTCTATTTCTAGTCATGTGTGTCGAAATAACCAATGAAACCATCATTACACTGATAACTACCCATGGATAGTTTTCACGGGTAGTTATCACTTATGTCATGACATTGCTAAGCAATCAACACAATAAAGTTAATGTTACCAAATAACGTGCTTTCGAAAACTGTGATAAAATTATTTCGTTAGTTATCAATGTCCTTGGGATATTATAGCTGAAAATCACAGACATAACAAAGGCAAATATCACTATTTATTGCTGGCATCAAATAAAAGAGTGATACAACATGATTAGACTCATTTTGTCTAAAATATAAAGTATAATTTATGTATCTATATAAATATGTTGTTTTCACTAGACAACTGATGTGGTTAATTACGACTAGATGCGACATTATATCACAAAATGATATAGCTAAGGTACATTTTCTCTCTAATACAATAGAGACTTACAGTTAACTATCGTGTTTTAGACTAGAACAGGTTGAATATCTAAAGATAATAATGAAAATTGGATTATAAATACACTGAATTAAAAATTGGGGTGATGAAAAAAGTATTTTCAATGAAGATCCCTATATTTCATGATGAAAAAAAATCTTCACCTGAAATTTCAATGTCAACTACCAAAATAGAGAAATATAGAGAGATACTATCTCCAACAATGATAAACAACCTGCACAAGTCTCCAGTAAACTAGTTATTGTGTAAGAGCAATTCAAACTTCACATCTCTATATTGCTAAAATGGCCATTGGAAGACTCATTATGGAAGACAATATATATCACTATCACAATATATAAAATAACTATCCTAGAAACACAAAAGATTCATAAAAATAGATAAAACACTAATGAAAATATAGCCAAATTTCATTTTCTGGATAGGAGTATTTAGCAGTCTGCTAAATAGAAGGTGCTTTATAAAAGTTAATAATTTAATTGATAATATTTTTGAGTTAAAAGAATATCTAAGCTGGGGTAAAAGCCACAAAAATAATATCAGAAATGATTTATCTTAAAATTATTGGAATGCTTTTCTGCCGTGCCACTTTGTCACATGACAGAAAACATTATATTACCTTAATCTTATTGATTCCACAAAAATGATAAAAATTCNGTATACTTTATGTATGTAAAATCTTCAATACCACGATGAGACCCCTCTCTTCCCAAACCCGACTCTTTAATACCTCCAAACGGAGCCTCTGCAGTAGAAATAATACCCTCATTTACCCCGACCATTCCCACTTCCATTCTTCGAGATACCCTGAAAATTTGTTTGATATCTTCACTATAAAAATATCCAGCAAGTCCACTTTGTGTGCCGTTTGCAATTTTCAAACTTTCCTCCTCGGTTTTGAACCTGATTATGTTGATCACTGGCCCAAATACTTCCTCGTGATACAATTTCATATTTTCAGTTATGTCAATAATCACAGTTGGTTCGTAAAAAAGCTTTCCTATATGACTTGCTGGCTTTCCACCGGTAAGAACTTTGGCTCCCTTTGAAATAGCATCGTTCACTAAATCTGAAACCTTGTTGAACTGAGTTTCGTTTATAAGGGGGCCCAGATTAACATTAGGCTCAACTCCATTACCAATTTTGAGTTGCTTCACACGGTGAATAAGTTTCGTTACAAATTCATCAAAAACTTCATCTTGTATTAAAAATCGGTTTGATGCCACACAGGCCTGCCCGCAGTTCCTGAACTTAGATCCCAGAGCTCCTTCAACAGCTTTATCCAAATTTGCAGAATTATAAACTATGAAAGGTGCATTACCACCCAGTTCAAGAGCTAATCTCTTCACGCCAGAAGAACACTGCTTATAGAGGATCTTTCCAACCAATGTAGAACCTGTGAAAGAGATTCCTGCAACAAGAGGGCTCTCGCAGAAGAGTTTTCCTATTGAAGGAGCATTGTGCCTGTCACTGGTGACAATGTTCAGAACCCCCTTAGGTATTCCTGCATCTTCGGCCAATTTTGCTATAGCCAGAGCTGTTAATGGGGTGTCTTCTGATGGTTTAACCACACATGTGCAGCCTACGGCCAGAGCTGCTCCTGCTTTTCTCGCGATCATAGCGTGCGGAAAGTTCCAGGGGGTGATCAGAGCTGCGACCCCTATTGGATGGTGATCAATAAGAATTTTCTTTGATGTCACAGGACTTTCGACAATTTCACCTCGAACATTTCTAGCTTGTTCCGAAAACCATTCGATGAAACTGTTACCATAGTGGACTTCTCCAAGAGCTTCGGAAATGGGCTTTCCAGATTCTGCTGTCATTATTTTGGCGATGGATTCTTGATTTTCATTGAGCAAATTGAACCATTTCCTAAGTAGTTGTGATCGTTCTTTAGCCGTGGTGAATTTCCAAGTTTCGAAAGCCGTAGCAGCAGCTTGGATGGCATTCTGAGCATCTTGAATATCCATATCGGGCACGGTACCGACAACTTCCCCATTTGCGGGATTAGTAACCTCAAAAACTTTGTCACTTGCTGCAGCAACCCACTGTCCATTTACGAAGGCCTTTTGACTAACGTGCATTTTTCTTAATATGACCTTAAATGTTTCTCGGTAATTTGTGACACTTCTGAATGCCATTCTGTTATGCAATAAGAAATAATGAAATCAATTTCGAATTTTCAAGGGAAGGATTGAGTATATAAATTAGGTTTGATCATTACCATTTAACATAAACGTTTCTCGGATAAAATTAACAAAATAAGTAAGTGAATTAGTGAATACGGATCACCCAATGTTGCCAATAATGCCAACAGCTGACTACTAGAGATAACCAACGTTTCAATATAAAATTCTAGAGATAACCAACGTTTCAATATAAAATTCTCAATTTACGAATATTTTCAACAAATAATTGACATTCTAATATAAAACTCCTTCCTATCTCCTTGCTGATTTTTGCATAATTTGATAACACGAAATTTGCTGAGAAATGTGTAACCTGTAGTTACACATTTCTCTGAATTATATACGTCGAAAGGATAACTCAGTTACGAGGTTGTGTATCACACAAGTCGTGACGTCACCAGCGATGCTTTTTATCAACAGCCGCCATGCTTGTCCGTATTTCGCAAATTATTATCACGCCTCGGGGAGCCTCGTTCTTTTATTTTATTCGAGGATTGAGTTCTCTGTCGATCCCATAGATAACGTCTTCGTAAGAGTAGATGTCATCGACCTTAACTTACTCAGGCTTGTCGTTTAAGGACAGTTGAGTCCAGTAACGCATTTGTAGTTCAGCTCAGCACCACTAATGAGACCTATGAGGGGTCGAAACAGTGTCTGGTGTTGAATCATTAGTGCGTCGTGTTTGGGCTCTGGTTTTCAACTCTTTATTTTTTTAAGGACAAAACACAAGCACTACAGAAAAAGTCTTGAGGCTCTAAAAGAGCGGTGCCTGTGCAAAAGTAGCGATTCATATTGGATATGAATTACTGGAGTTTAAATCCATTCGGAAAAACTTTTTCAGGAAGTGTATTCCACATAAACGCAGTTCTCCAAATGAAAGAGTTCTTAAACAGTGAAGTTCAAGGTGTACTGAGTTGTACTTTAAAACGATGAGCAGCCTCAGTCCATCTCGTATTTCTGATATGTACCGCTCTTGGTGGAATCAAATGTGCCAAGTCACTTGAACACTTCTCGTGAAAGTATCTATAGAAGAAAGACAAATCTCCAACCTTTCTTCAAAGTTTAAGACTATCCCGTGTTAGGAATCACAAAAAGGTAAGACCTCGTTAGTCCTTAGCTCGCACAAGTTTCTCAACTTCTGAGAGTTGTCTGACTAACGGAAAAACATATTTTAAACACATAGAACAGATCAAGGTTGCAAGTGAGGTTCGCGTCTCCAATCGGGCAGATGGCTCACTTCTGGATGGAATCCAGAAACTTCAGGATATGCTTAGGGGCGGAGCTCCATACATGAGAACAATATACTCCAAAGAAGGCCTTTTCTGAGCTTTATAAAGCATAAAAAGATGCTGAGGTGTGTACAGTTTTCTGGTTCGGAACAGTGTTCCAAGCTTTTGAGAAGCAGCCTTTGCAATTCCAGCGACATGATTGTGCCAAAACATATTGGTGTCCATTGCAACCCCCAACAAACTCATCGAAGAATATATTTAAAATGTTTTTCTTTCAACCACCTGTAACCCCCACACGAACGATAACTCTCAGAAGTCAAAATTTGTGCAAGCTGAGGATTTAAGAGGTCTTACCTTCTAACGTTGTGATTTCTAGCATGAAGAAACCTACTAGAATGCATAGATTTAAAATAATTTTAGTAATAAACTTATAAAAAATTATGTCCACTAATAGACAAGGTACCAAAAATTATCAAATAAAAAGATAATCTTCTCAAGTGGAAGTGGCCTACTTCTTCAAGAGATGAACTGAAATACTTAGAGAGGTTTATTTTCAAAGAATAATATTTGGACTTCAAACTGTTCCAAAATTTCAACAAAACCGTATTCAACTAGCCGACGTGTACCTACAATGTTTCATGAAATTTTCAGAATGAGTTGATCTGTGACCTTCACAGAAAAACTGCAATAAGAGATGTTCTATGAACTTTAATGAAGTACACACACAAATATTTGTTTTAGTGATGAGTGCACTAGAATTCTAAATACTTTAAATAATCGGAATTGTCAATAATGGCGTGATAAAAAACCCGGGATTTTCCCAGAAGGTCGTACTGAAAAATTCCAGAAACTAAATGTATGGCTGTGATTTTGGGGAATCGTTGGGTCAATATTCATTAATGGGAATCTGAAAGAAAATTGTACCTGCAACATTTAAAAGATGGAGTCCACAAGCAAGTCACTCAATTTCAAGACCAAGGATCATAGCGGTTGGGTGGAATGTTCCAGTCCAACACAAAAGAGTTATGGAGAAAGTTAAATTGAGGCAAAATTGTATATTATAGAGCCAACTGTTGATATGTATATTGAAAAATCCAGGTTAGCTTACCAGTACAGAAATTCAGGAAAAAGAACGTGAAAATTCGATTCAATTCTCATCTATATCTGTTACAATTGAATAATTTTTCGAAACCATGCATATTTTGTGCCTGCAACTTTGAATAGGATGTAAAGATACGGAGGTCTGTTAAAAATAACGTGAATTTTAAGTATTATCGAAAAGTATTTATTAATTTATATCAATTTCTATTATGTCTTATTCAAAGTTTTCCCCCTCAGATATAATACACTTGTGCCGGACTTTCTTCCAATCCTCAAAGCAGTTCTGATATTCACTTGGTATGCCCTTGAACATTCTCAGTGATTCGGTTTTTATCTTTCAATCGTCACAAATCGCCGTACTTTCATAGGTCTTTTCAATCCTGAGAACAAGAAAAAGTCGCAGAGAGGCAAATCTGGTAAATACGATGCCTTATTGTGATGCAAAGGCTACGGAATTCACTTCTATTTTTTACACAAAATTCGATGCACATCCTTTGATCCATTTTTTTCGATAACAGAAAATCACCGAACACGCAGAACACTTCGACCAACAAACAAAACTTACTAAACAGCTGAAACTGTGAACATGTATTCCAGACGAATGTACCAACACAAAAAAATAAAAAATCGCTAACTGGATGTACGCAGCCCACGAAATTTGAACATTCAATTTATTTTTTTAACAGACCTGGTATGCTACGGAAATTGTTTTACAGGATGTACATCACATCATGCGACTCATTCGACTTTGGATTTTGAATACTGACCCGTTTTCAAAGTTTCAGGGCCATGTTTTATGATGACATCAAATATTTGTCATTGTTTACATAATATTAATTATCAGTAAAATTCAGAAGATATGTGTTTCGAAGACTTTTTCATTATAATAATATGGATTACCAGGACGCAGTAGATATAATCTTTCTTGAGTAAATATTAACTTTTAACTATGTGAATTATACCATAAATAACAGATTAACGATTGTTTGGGTTGTTGTCCCCGTACCAAATTTTTTTTTTCAATCTTCCAGAATTATGTTTTCATTTAATATAAATGAGCGAAAATTGGTAGAGGTTACTTTCTTGGTAACCCTACATGGAAATTGTAATTATTCATATTGTTTGGATAAATTATTATTTTTTAACAATCAACTTCAATAATCGTCGTTCTCTTCAAACTAAATATGCAATTTACAAGCTTTGAAAGGAAGTGACAATCTGGAGTGTTGTGGAATACTCGGCAATAGTCTGGAAGCTTCGGGAAAATCCAGGAACATTTCAGTCATTATGGAATGATCACAAGATTCATATGTTATGGTAGCCCTCTTTCCCCCGTCCATAAAAAAGGTTTCCGTTTTATTTGAGTGATTGTCCCAGCCGAAATCAAAAATTGTAATTAATTTGATGAGTTCACAAAATCGCAACATGTGTTTCGCTATACGACAGTATGTTCGGGCGTCACAATATTGTTTGTACAAAATATGTGTCGTGCTTTCATAGTAATTTGAATCATGACTATTACTACCTAACAAATTTCTACAGGACAAATTCACTTCCGGAACTATTCACCAATCTAAGAACAACTCATTAGACTGAAGAGTAATGAATATAATTTTTACCTACCATTATTTTACCTACTTCTAAGATCTGTCCTTACCAATTTCCTAGTTGTGTTTTGATCATTGTGCAATAATTATCATTTATAGGACACATGAACAAAATAGAGCTGAATAACGACTTATCTGCAAGCAATGCAGCAAGACAGAGGGAGTGATACCCCAACATTTTTAAATAGCATGAGGGGTCGAGTAATATGTAGTTTTGGGACCTGACATTATTATATCCGGTTTGGAGACACTTATCTTTTTGAAGAAAATCGATGCCTGGGTTTTTGTGGCATTGAATTGAACCTGGTTACTTTTACCCCGATTCGGTAGCACTTCTAGATAATCATTAAGATATGCAACCGCAACCTCCTGCTGCCGGTGAAGATGTGCATCCGCAGCCGATATCCTGGAATCCAAATGGAATGACGAGACAAGTGTGCTGTCGTTAGCAAAGCAATATATTGGATTCTTGGTTTTTTCCAATGAGTCGTTGATATACAATAAAAAGAGGGTTGGAGACAATATGGATTCCTGGGGAATACCAGCATTGATGGCAAACGTATTCTAGATATATCCAACGACTGCCACTTGCAGGAAACATTCTTTCAGACAAGCCATAGCATCGGATTTTGGCCAGCAAACCCTCATGCCCACACACAGTCAAAGGCCTTAGAAATATCAACCGCAATAGCTCTTGACTCTCCATGTTTCTTGATTGCGTTATTCCAAATATGGGTGACATACGATAGAAGGTCGCCTGTTGATCTTTGTTTCTGAAAGCCATATTGATGATCTCTCAAGATGTTGAAGCCTTCTATAGTTATTTGAAAGTTTTTTTTTGAAAAATACTAGTGCGAGTTCATTTGCGCCTTTTTTAAGTACGATGACGGGCACTTTATCAGGACCAGACGCCTTGTTGATATTGATCGAGTTTCAAAGAGTGTGTGGGGTGCAGTGGAGGGTCGGATAGACCTACTCACTTAGGACCTGCCTCTATCATCCCACCGTGAGGTAAATTATCATTGGGTTCGAGAATCATGCGTTCTGAGTAGATGCAATGAAGCAAGAATGAGTGACAGAATAATGTCTTCAGATATATGTCTTCTAATATTAATTTTGGTTTAACCTCTGAACAACTTAATACAAATGACCAACAATCCTAATTTTTTAAAATTATTTTCCTGACGAAACTAG